CGCAGCAGTCGCATGCTACAACAATGCGACACGCAAGTCAGCCATGCAAAGATTACTGTGCATCGTGATGGCGAAGTTGTTACCACAACTGCAACTGGACAAGCTAATAGAATGCGCAGCGGCTCCAACGCCCGTCGTTTGCGGGCAAACTCGACAAGAGCCTCGCTTACGAGCCGGCCACAATCGTCTCGTGGATCACTTGCCTCACTTCGGAGTAGTCGACAAGGAACTCCCAAGATACGGGTGCCTAGTCTCCGCCACAAACGAGGTGTAGACTTCTCCCATATCCGCAAGCGATCTGGTTCTGCTGGACCTGGTCCGCGGGCAGCCAATCGCAATACTGGATCTCCTTTTGTTGTCGTTGGTAACGGAACAGCTCAACGAGTATCGGCACCGGCCGGCCGAAATGCAAGTCCAGACTTGCCTAAAACAGCTGATGGCACGTACCCTAAGGCCGTGGGCGGCCCTGCCAAACAATCTCCCAAGAAACACGATGCTTCTATGATTTTCCACGAAGAGCTGCGCAAATTCAGCAACATCTGTGCCAAGGACTGCGACGAGGCATTCAGAACCTCCATTATCGTTTACGATTCAGAGTGCGACTCGTCGACTACCGAGGGTGACCGTAGACACCGGGAATCCAACCCGTTCTCAATATCCCTCGATAGCCCAACGACGACCATCTCCCCAGTGACTGACGCATCCAGCGACTCGTGGCACAGCCGTCCCTTACCTCCACTACCCAAAGTCGCCAGCACGCAGAATCAAGCCACGGTATCAGACAGGAATAAGGCGCGTCCGATTTCACCGAACAGAGATGCTGCCAAGGATGGGGACGTGGAAGCAATCAGCAAAGTTTCTGTTCTTCCAAGACAGGTTGACCGCCGGACTGTCTCGGCCCCGATTTACAGCCAGACACATAGAAAGCTTTCTACGCTGCCTTCGATAAATGAAAATGCTGGACTTCACGGCGATGGAGCTCGCATTGTGTCCGCTCCACCACAGAGCCCCGTGAGACGAGCAAATGAGAAGAATAGTAGTATGGACTATCTTAGCAGGGTTGAACGTACTATTCGGGTTGTCAACTCACCCGCCCCTGAAAATCCGCACAGATCCCCGAACCTAGTTGAGACCCAGTTGGTAAACAGAGACGGAGGCTCTCGGCATCCCCTTCATCAGCAGCTCTCCTACGATGATATGGAATACGACGACCATGTCTACGATGTGGAATCCGCCCCCAAGAAGAAGAAGTCGTCTTGGTTCAAGCGAGTCTCCAGAGCAGAATCCAGCACCGGTTCCAGTGACAGCGGAGTACGCCGGGCAAGCAGTTCCACAGACTCCAAGCAACATCGTTCCGACGAGGAGTCCAGTGAACAAAGCAAGAAGAGAAACTTTACCTTTCCGTTTTGGAAGAGCAACAAGGGCAAAGACACTGGTATGACTATTGAAGGTACTAATGACGCCGATTTGCTTTTGTTATTGAGCCTCATGGAGACTAACCGATGTATAGGTCTCGGGGATGTGCCCAAGAAGCAGCAAGGGACGGGCCGGGCAGTCGCGAGGAAGCGACAATCCGGCATGGTTCGATTCAACTCGGGTAGCACCCGGCATATTGAAGTCAAGCAGAATTGGCTTACGCGCCTATTCCGCGTCAAGCCAGCCACTGGCTATCTTTGCATGACGTTGACCTGCCAGCGAGCCCGTCAGGAGATTGTGATTTTGTTGCGCGATTGGCGGCGTTACGGGATAAGAATTGCGCAGGTCGACAAGCAGCGCAACGTCGTCTTTGGAAGACTGAGAGCTAAGAACTGTAGGCGTCTCACAAGTTGCCAGGACATTGAGGAAGCAAAGCTGACCGAAGTGATTAGACTTGAACTTGAGAGAAGTCGAATTTGCTGCGGAGATCATGAAGGTGATTGAGCATGGCAAGAAGCAGCCACTTTGCATTGTCCGGTTCACCCAGGAACGCGGCGCGGCAAGCACTTTGCATCGCATTGTTCACACGATGAAGGTTATGTTTGAGAGCCGACACCTGTTGGTTACTGATAAAAATAAGAAGAAGATGATGATCAACACGCTCAACTCACACGAAGCAAAAAACACCAACTTATGACTAATACGACAACATAATACTCATTGATATCAACCCTGTAATAAAGAAGAAAGGATGTTCCTCGGTGGGTAACTGGTGAATTTTGAACCCAAGAAAAGAGCAAACAGTATATGAATATGGCGAACAGGCAACGGTTTTTGTTGGATTTGCGATTCCCCTCTTCTTGGCTGGTTTGCCGGACACAAGCAGGCTTTTTTATTGCTCTCTCTCTCTCTTTTTTTTTCTTGTCTTTTTGTCTTTTTACTGTCCATTTTGGTTTCTAGGGAAGGCGTTTGGATTGCGGACCGTAGGGAAGTAAAGGGAGATGGGTGTACTTGCTAACCAGGCATATATTATTTTGTGATTCGATGTTTCATGGCGAGATGCCGTGACAACTGGGGAAGTGGCTCTTTTTTTTTTTTTTTTTTCATGGGTGAAAAAGGTTGGATTTGCGATTCCCCTCTTCTTGGCTGGTTTGCCGGACACAAGCAGGCTTTTTTATTGCTCTCTCTCTCTCTTTTTTTTTCTTGTCTTTTTGTCTTTTTACTGTCCATTTTGGTTTCTAGGGAAGGCGTTTGGATTGCGGACCGTAGGGAAGTAAAGGGAGATGGGTGTACTTGCTAACCAGGCATATATTATTTTGTGATTCGATGTTTCATGGCGAGATGCCGTGACAACTGGGGAAGTGGCTCTTTTTTTTTTTTTTTTTGCATGGCTGAACAAGGTTTCGGGGAGGAAAGGAGTTGATGCTGTTTATCAGTGTATGTATTAGAGTAATTGGCATTGCTTCAGCTGAAGTGTACTCAAGTGTATTCTTTTGCCGGACTGAATGAAGAAAGAATTATCAAGCAATTAAGCAATCAAGCACGTGGTGGGTGACGGGAGGAAGCATCACGGCGACTGGTTTAGTAATGGACATGGTTAATGGGGGTTGTTGAGGGCAACAGGCGTCACTGGATCCGGCGTCGGTGGTATTAATGGATGCCGAGACAAAGAGGCATCGCCATGTCAAGGGAGGCGTGACTTGGTGTATGAGTGCAACGACGGCCGGGCGGCGGCACAACAGCAAAAACAATTGACGGCCCTCTCGTGTTGCAGCTAACAAGCCATCGAGGATGCAAGGATGAGTGGGCATCAGGCTTGCGAATAGATACGTACATGCGTGGACATGAATCAATGCATGCAACTTGGAAGAAAGGCACTGGTATCGTGCTGCGTGCTGACATCAGGAATGACGGATATGAACGGCAGGTCGTCGGTGCGCCCTCCAAGGCCGGAAAGACTCGGGGCGCGCCGGCATAGTAGGCCATGACGGCCCATTGCCATTCAAAGCCTCGGTTTGAAATCGTGCCTGCTCGGACGTGGGGATGTTTGCCCTTTTGGATCGTGGGACCTACGTTGGATACTTGGATCGATGGCAGGGCATTGGCCAATGCTGGCCGGTTCGGATGTTGGAGGCGCTTCTGGTTCCGAGAGCTATAGGGTGCGTCACTGTTTATGGGACTGTTTGTGGGATGGCCGAGGTGTAGCTGGTGAGGGCGGGTGCGAAAGATGTGTATCATTTATTTCGAGGGGAGGAGGGAGGATGGGTTCGGTAAAGATGATAATGATGATGATGATGATGATGATGATGATGATGATGATGATGATGATGATGATGATGATGATGATGATGATGATGATGATGATGATGTTGGTGGTGGTGGTTGTGAGATGAATGACATTCAATCAAGACGTGGTGAAACTTGTCGGCCAGGCCCGGTTGCACGCGCGCCGCCGGCCGGTCAAGGGGCGCTGGAGCACTGCGAGCTTCAGAACTCACAGCAATTGAGGCTGCGCTGAGCCGAGACTGGGCCGTTTTGCTGGGCTACCCCGCGTTGGCTCCGATGGCGCCGGAGGTATGGGCGATCGCGGAGTAGGTACCGCGAGCGTAGGAGAAGCATGGCTGCGGTACCTGCATCTGTTGCGTGTGTACTTGGCCATCTGCGTCCGATGCGTCCCCACCCGGGCCAAGGCTGGAGGGCAGTCGAACTGGTGGCACTCATGATCGAGGTCAAGGCCGCAGTGTTCCCTACTTACGTATCAGATATACGCATCCATGCCCTCACCCAGTGTTCAAGATTCGCCTCTGAATCATATATATGTTTCTTTCCATCTCCGTACATCCGAGCGCAGGCCGATGGTGGCCGAGCAACGGGTGTGCATCGTGAGAACCGTAGCCGCGGTCTGCAAGCTTCAATTAATAAAGCCCCTTCTACCATGGGTGCATGCGCGGGAGGGAGCTAAATATGAGACGGGTCAGAGCTGTAGCACATTCTCCCCTCCCCCATTGACGTATTTGACGTATTATTTCCTCTCTTTTTTTTCTTCTTGATTCTTGGCCTTCCCCCCTCCTCTCTTCCATAAAACGAATAACTGTGAAACTATCCCGATTGTGACCAACTTGAGTGAGGCAACGACATTCAGCTCGGCCGTTTAAAGCACAACGGTCATACGAGGTGGGTTCCGTTTATTTTTTATTTTGTGTTATTTTTATTTTTCCCCTATGGACGGAGCTGCTCCCATTATACATACCCGTTTGTCTGCGCTCGGGTATGGATGGAACCACTAGCTCTGTGGTCGTTGGCACGTGAAAGCCATGCAGATCCGGAGACGACATACATGGCTGTGACGAAACTACATTTCGGGAATTCTCGCCTGACACCCATCTCTCGTCCTCTTCTTCTTTTGTCTAGGACACATCTCTTCCCATCTTCCACCTCAACCCCTTCAAAAGACGCTAGTTTTTTATTTGTTTGGATTAGGCCTTGCTTCTCACCATCCGCTGAGCCGGCTTCACCCAAATCCATCACTCACATCACCGGGCCCTTCGGCTAACCTTTCAAGACCACGCACATCAGGAACCGCAATGGCTGCCACCGACACCATCCTCCAGGGCGTCTCGGTCAACGGCAAGGTTGGCGAGACTCACCGCAAGATCCTGACGCCCCCGGCGCTTGCGTTCCTTGCCCTCCTGCACCGCTCCTTCAACGGCACCCGCAAGCAGCTGCTGGAGCGTCGCAAGATCCGCCAGGCCGAGATTGACCGCGGCGTCTTGCCCGACTTCCTGCCCGAGACGAAGCACATTCGTGAGAATCCGACCTGGAAGGGAGCGCCGCCGGCGCCGGGCCTGGTTGATCGCCGCGTCGAGATTACCGGGCCTACCGACCGGAAGATGGTTGTGAATGCCTTGAATGCCGATGTGTATACGTATATGGCTGATTTTGAGGGTGAGTTTTCTTTTTTTCCTTTTTTTTTTACAACATGTAACAACTTGTTTCTCTTCAGCTTGCATCTTTCCCCTTCTTTCCCTTTGTTTTTAGCAGCAATTCAAGACTACTTGGAGCAGCTCGAGTCTGTTCTTTGTCTGCTTCGTCGGCTATTCCAGCCAAATCCTACATGCCTGGAACCACAGCCGAGCTTGATGCCGGGACTCAAACGACACCAACGACAGCATGACTAACGTCCTTGACAGACTCCAGCGCCCCGACATGGGAAAACATGATCAATGGCCAGGTCAACCTGTACGACGCCAACCGCCGCCAGGTCGACTTCAAGCAGGGCCAGAAGGAGTACAAGCTCCGCACCGACAGGAAGCTGCCGACGCTCATCGTGCGCCCTCGCGGCTGGCACCTCGACGAGAAGCACGTCACCGTCGACGGCGAGCCCGTCTCGGGCGGCCTCTTCGACTTTGGCCTGTACTTCTTCCACAATGCCGTCGAGCTGCAGCGCCGCGGCTACGGCCCGTACTTTTACCTGCCCAAGATGGAGAGCCACCTCGAGGCGCGCCTCTGGAACGACGTCTTCAACCTGGCCCAGGACTACATCGGCATGCCGCGCGGCACCATCCGCGGCACCGTGCTCATCGAGACCATCCTGGCCGCCTTTGAGATGGACGAGATCATCTACGAGCTGCGCGACCACAGCTCCGGCCTCAACTGCGGCCGCTGGGACTACATCTTCAGCACCATCAAGAAGTTCCGCCAGAACCCCAACTTTGTCCTGCCCGACCGCTCGTGCGTCACCATGACGGTGCCCTTCATGGACGCCTACGTCAAGCTGCTCATCCAGACCTGCCACAGGCGCGGCGTCCACGCCATGGGCGGCATGGCCGCCCAGATCCCCATCAAGGACGACAAGCAGGCCAACGACGCGGCCATGGAAAACGTCCGCGCCGACAAGCTGCGCGAGGTCCGCGCCGGCCACGACGGCACCTGGGTCGCCCACCCGGCCCTGGCCTCCATCGCCACCGACGTCTTCAACAAGCACATGCCCACCCCGAACCAGCTGTTTGTGCGCCGCGAGGACGTCCACATTGGCCAGAACGACCTCCTCAACATGAACGTCCCCGGCAGCGTCACCGAGGACGGCATCCGCAAGAACCTCAACATTGGCCTGGGCTACATGGAGGCCTGGATCCGCGGCGTAGGCTGCGTGCCCATCAACTACCTGATGTAAGTGCTTCATTCCCCACGACTACCAAATACAAAAAATTATGGGTAGTATCAGCAACCAACTTTCCTTTTTTCGTTTTTGCTAACAAAAACACGCCCCCAACGCAGGGAGGACGCCGCCACCGCCGAAGTCTCCCGCTCCCAGGTCTGGCAGTGGGTGAGGCACGGCGTCTCAACCGCCGAGGGCAAGCGCATCGACAAGGCCTACGCCCTCAAGCTCCTCAAGGAGCAGGCCGACCAGCTGGCCTCCAAGGCCGGCAAGGGCAACAAGTACCACCTTGCCGCCCAGTACTTTGCCGGCCAAGTCACTGGCGAAGACTACGCCGACTTTTTGACAACGTACGTTATGAAACTCTCCTCTACCCCCCAGCCCGGCTGTTGCCAAGTTCCGTACTTTCATCACTTTTTTTCGCTCTTCCACATTGCAAAAGATATCGTAGAGTGGGAAGATATACATGTTGAGAAGAGCAGTGAGCTTGGGGGACGATTTTGAGTCGTGGATTTTTCTGTCGTTTGCCGCGTCACACTATTGAATTGAGGCTAAATCGTGAAACAGGTTGCTCTACAATGAGATTACGCAGGTTGGCACCCCTAGCCCTGCTTCTAAGCTGTAATTCAAAAGATGAAAAAAAGCGAGCAATGGCACGGGGGTTACCGAGATGATACGACTTGATTGAAATTGCAAGACTTGCAGTTGGAAGGGAGGCGAGATCTGTTTGGCACTTGAGGACAGGAATCGATGTAATTTTTGTTACCCTATTTGAGTAAGCCCTTTTTTTAAACATGGGCGCGAATTCTAGCTTGAAGACATGTATGCCATGCTGTGCTATTCAATCATTGTTTCCCCGAAAACACTTGCCTCTGCCCCGGGTATCTGCCAGTTGTAAAAAGATGGTTTATCCGGGTTTCGTGTCACGGATCCGATCCAACTATTTCCGCGTAGTTGTCAAGGATTCAGTATCCCCCCGACACATAAACAGTACGAGTCTACCCTAGGCCTGCTTGTGTCCAGAATTCTATCCGCAAAACCGCACAACCACGACACCACACTTGTTGAACCATGGCGGGTATCCTCCCCCCCTCCCAGCCCAAAACTCAAAAATTTTTCGAATCGAGTCATCTCATCTATCTGTTTACACCGAAAGTATCCCCCGCCCCGCATCTCGATCAGAGGGAAACTGAGCAATTGCCACCCACACTGCCGCCTGGTCTATCATCACGAGAGATTGAATGGCTGAAGCATGGGCCGCCGACGAACCATCCCTTTTGTCCCGGGCCTGTTTCGGCCAGAGGGCGTTCCCGGTTCTCACGCGGCCCTTTGCTGTTTTTGACTGACTCGACCCTTCCGTCTGATAGCATCAGGCCCCCGGTTCGCGGGGGGACACCACCGACTTCAACCGGCTCCATGAGTCCATGGCCTCGCCCGTAATCAACTCCGAAGTGTGCGGCCGCGCATTTTGAACTCGTTTCAACAAAAAAAAAAACCGACCTCTCCCACGTGCCTGAGACGAATGAGTTGCTCAAATCGCTCGAGACTCTAGTTAGCGTCGCGAAGAATGCTCCGCTAGCGGGCGGATTAGGAAAAACTGGCCGCTTTCGTTTTTTTGCCTCAACTTTGCTCTGGCATAGTCCCACTGCTCGTTTCGCGCCCCCCCCCCCCCCCTTTCTTTCTTTTGTC